TGGTTGTCATGCATCCCCTCCCTCGCAATGCCGAGATCTCTGAGGAAGTCGACTTCGACCAGCGGGCTGCTTACTTCCGCCAGGTATGTTTCTGAATTTCCCTTGCTGTCTCTGAACAATGAACTAATTGCATTATAGATGCGCTACGGCCTCTACTGCCGCATGGCTCTCCTTGCTCTCGTCTTGGCGCCATGAATATGATACTCTTTTGCCATTCTAATTATGTGGGAAAGGAGGATCCCAAAAGCGCCATGGATTTACGTGAGACGTTTTGTTTTCCTTGTTGTTTGAAAAGTTATGTTTTTCGATACTCCGTAATCAGCGTGATAAATCGCTGTATAGATTAGATGAATCTCCGTTTCATTTGACGGTCCCGTTCAGTGTATGTCTCTATTTCTATGTGTGTATGTTATGTGATATGTGTCATATGTGTGTTATGCGTTATGTGTGTTGTGTGTGTGTCGTGTTTTCCTTTTTGGGGTCATTTGGGATTCTTTCGGGGTCATTTCGGGGATTTCGGGGATTCTTTTGGGACTTGGCGTCTTTTTTGCATTTTATATACCCACTCTGACAATATACTTCATTAATTCATCTGAGCCCGAACTTTTTTTCAAGTTTGGAACACCCAGCGAGGATCCTTATCCCCTTGGAACTCTCCCTCCGCATCACCCACGTCTCCCATCAACGGGCTCAGTTCCCGGACTTCCCTCAGACGCTCCTTTTCAGCATTTTCCCGTCGGAGAACGTGCCATAGGATCCCAACAACCACAATGTTGGCAACTAGATATCCCAAGGCAAATCCATGACCCAGGAAGTACCGCGGGGCACTCTCAGCGCGGTAAAGCTGTGTTCCAAGGACCGCACCCAGATTCCCAATTGAGATCTGCATGGCGTTGGCAATGCAACGCTTAGTCTGGCCGGACACATTATTGGCGGGCCAGGACAGCACAATAGCCACAGCTGGGTAAATGCCTGCCGCAGCGAAGATAGTTCCAACGTAAGACACGCCAGCCCGGTGCTGTGACAGCAGGAGAATGTATCCGATACATCCAACGGCAGATGATCCCATGATAAACGGGGCGCGACTGCGAGTCTTCTCAGAAGCAATCGCAACACCAATAGTTGAGAAGAACGACACTGCGTACGGTGGAACGGACAGTAGCTGCGCCTTTGCGGCTGAGTATCCGAGTTCTTTGATGATGGTCGGAAGGAAAAGTGATAAAGTATACAGTGGCAAGGACATTGTGTGGAAGCCAAGTCCATATAGCCAGACTTTGGGGTCTTTGAAGGCATCCTGTACTGCCGACCAGGTGAATTCCTCATCCCGAGTGGCATCGCTGTCGTTCTTCAGACGCAATTGGATGAACTCCCGTTCTTCTTTTGATAGAAACTCGGCTGTTGATGGGTAGTTGTATACCCAGAAATAGGCGATGATCGAAGCAACAATGGTCAACAGTCCTTCCTAAATTGATTGTCAGCTATGATAGTGCATGGTATAGTTGATCGGGACGCACCAAGATGAAAATCCACCTCCAACCATTCAAGTTTCCTACACCTTTCATGTGAGAGATTGCCTAGAAACCCATTAGCTTGGTTATCTACCAGGAGAAGAAAACCAACCCAAGCCAGGATACCACCAAAGGCACCTGCCATCGAGGCAGAGCTGAAAAACAGAGCCACGCGATAATGTTGCTCGTTCCGCTTATACCACATGGACAGATAAAACACCACACCGGGGAACAATCCGCTCTCTGCAACACCCAGGAAGAATCGCGAAGACAGATATCCAGAGTAATTCTGTACTACTCCTAGAAGTGTAGCTACTACTCCCCAGACCAGGGTGAGAGTCGGAAGCCATATTCTCGGGGTGGTTTTCTTCAAGACGATCTGAATGTAGCTGTTAGTCTTTGTACAGGACATTTATATTCATAGGCGTTACTCACATTGCAAGGAATCTCAAAAATAACATAGCCGATAAAGTACAGAGTCAGGCCTGTAAGGTACTGGTCTCCTGCTATATTCCAGTTAATCCTCGGATCAATATGAAGACACACAAAACGTACACATTTTGATGTCGGTCGTCATTCCTTCTAGACGGGCATTTCCCACATTGCTGCGATCCAAAAAGGAGAGCAAATAGAGTAATGTGAGGGGTGGCAAAAGACGATAGTCCAATTTCCGTAACAAGGCCTTCTCGTTGATGCCCTTGATACTTGGAGAATCGCTGGCGTCCATCTCGGCGCCAGTGCGCACATCGTCCTTTTCTGAAGTAGCCATAGTAACTCACGGGGGACTTAGTCTTGAATTGAGGCTTGGATTAAGGCTATCATATATGGAGAGAGGGGGATAGGAGAAATATATAACATTTAGCACACCATCCATTACCCCGCCAATAAATCATTCTTCCATAGAGAGAGCGAATAAGGTCACCGATATAGGTGATATCAAAAGAGAATGAGCAACATTGGGGCTGGAATGACGAGAGCTGATTCCATGTGAAGATCGGCAAGATGCATGAATAGCGTATTCTACGAGTCCTATGTTACACCGTGAAGTATAGAGGTCGTATAAGCGGCCATCTGTTCTTATTCTTACTTACTACAAATCCATGGAAATTTCTCAGGAGGTTGATATGACGATCAGAGTACTTCATACTGTAAGAAATTACTTCAAAGAAGGCGGATGAAATGTACTATATTGTTTAGTTGGATCTTTGTATTTCTCATGTCTATGCTCAGTCTATAGTGGTACTCTCAGAATGTATGTTCGCTAATTGACACACCTGGCCATGTCTTACCCTTCATCCGTCAGCTCATGCCTTATCCGGCCAGTACTTCTGTACAATGACCTTCTTATTGACCTTGCCCATGGCATTGCGCTCGATTCCATCCACAACCTTCAAAACAGTTGGGATTTTATAAGGAGCCATCTCGTTCTTGAGCGCAGCGCGTAGAGTAGGAAGATCCAGCGGTGTAGTCTATGTCACTGTTAGTTATGCAAAAAGAACAGTTGCCCTTCATGGACTCAACGAAAACGTACCCCTTCTCGGAACTTGACAACTGCAGCAACTCGTTGCCCCCATTCCTGGTCGGCCAATCCGACTATAGCAACTTCTTGAATCGCATGAATGGCCAGCATCTTGCGCTCAACTTCCAACGCCGAAATCTTATATCCACCGGATTTGATTAAGTCGACAGAAGCACGGCCTTGAATGAAGTATGCGCCGCTTGAATCGCGTTTAGCGACATCGCCGGTCTTGAACCATCCATCCACTGTGAATTCCGAGGCCGTCGCTTCCGGCTTCCGCCAGTATTCGTAGAAGACATTACCGCCCTTGATCTCGATCATGCCGTCCTCATCCACTTCGTCCACAATACGACCGGTTTCTTTTTCGGTCAGTCGCACCTCGACACCAGGCAATGGCCATCCCACACTGCCATCGATTCGCTTTTCAATCTCCAGCCCACAGCTGATCGCCATGCCAATCTCGGTCATTCCATATCGCTCCAATAGAACCTGACCAGTGATCTCCGCGAATTTTTCTTTGATGGGGGTGGGTAGGGCCGCAGATCCACTGACGACCAGTCGTAGAGCACGAGCTCCAGCCCGCGCGGCATCTTCTTGTTCCGTGCCGCGGATATGAGCATCGAAGTAGTCATTCAGACGGGAGTAAATGGTCGGCACAGCCATGAACAAGGTTGAGGAGCCAGCGTCCTGCCACCGCTCCCAGATCACCTTCGGATCGAATTTTGGATGCATCTCCACTGTGGTACCACTCAGGAAACTGGCAGCCAGGCCATTGACGATGCCGTGGACGTGGTGGAGTGGCAGCACGTGAATGAGACGGTCTGAGGGAGAGTACTCCCAGGCCTTGACCAGACAGCTCGCTTGGAATGTGATATTCCCGTGTGTTGTCACGCAGCCCTTGGGGTTTGATGTGGTTCCAGAGGTATAGATCATCAGGGCGCGTCGAGTGAGCTCAAACGGCGGGGAGAAAGAAGGTAAGGTCGGGGCCTCATTTCGAGAGAATGGCTCCAGTCCCATAAAGGGTATATCAGTGGTGCATCCTTCGCGTAGTAATGGTGCGATCTTCTCAAATTCCGGGTGCACGATAATCAATGAGGGGTCCGAATCACCGATGGTGTATAACAGTTCCTTCACTGGGTGACTTGTGCCTAGCGAATGTCAGCGTCGAATAGAAGATGTTGCGCATTGCTGCCATCGCTTTCACCTACAAAGTGGGACGCAGACACCTCCCGCGGCCCACACGGCCCATTGTGTCGCAACGTAGTCATATCCATTGGGGACCAAGAAGGCAATGCGTCGTTCTTCCAAATCGTCCGTCAATCTCAATTGCTCAATTATGCGCTTCCTCAATGCTGCTGCATCAGCTAGTAATTGAACGAAAGTGAAGGATTGTTGTTTGGTAGCATCAACGACCGCGATCTTGTCCGGATCTTGTCGTGCATGTTGCTCCGCCGCAGCAAAGAGGGGTAGCAAAGGGATGGGCATAATTAATTTGATTCTTGGACACTTTGACTCTAAAGATGAATCATTCAATATAAGTCTAATAATCTGGAGGGGTAAAGTCGAAGAATTTGAGGGACATACGGAATCCCCCAGGGCTGTATTTAGCCGATTGCGGAGAAAACGCCATGTCCACCATGGACGGGTGGGCGGCACCCGGATGATTATGTAATTATGCTCAAGGTCCCCCGCCCCTAGGTCTTGGCATACTCGGTCATAAGATATTCCACTCCGATCTCGGTTCATATATCGCCCACCAGCTATTTAAAGATGTAAGGGGAATTGGTCCTTCACAGCACCTTGTGTCTGAAAGAGCTGGCAATATGGCCACTGTCAATAGCCCGCTACTGCAAAATGACATACAGCAAAGCTCCTTGGGTGATACCACCCAGACATCACCTGAACTCGACCGATCGAAGCAGCCTCGAGCTAATATATCAAAAATATTGGCTATATTTTTGGCTTTCTTAATGATGGGGGCAAATGATGCAGCATATGGCGTAAGTACTTCGCGAAGAATCGAAATGCGATATTGCTAACACGCAAAAGCCTCTATTACCATATGTAAGTACCTATCTAAAACCGTCCTTATGAACACTCTAATGAAAAGAACAGCTCGAATCGTACTACAGCATCTCCCACACAGTGGCTTCATTTCTTTTCCTGTCACCTGTCTGTGGCTATGTACTTGCTGCAGTTCTAAACGACACAATTCACACTAAGCTAGGTCGTCGTGGCGTTGCCTGGATTTCCTCCGGTAACCATTTCATCGGCCATCTCTTTGTATCTTTACATCCTCCATACCCTGCTCTAGTCGCTCTTTTCGTCCTTCAGGGCTTTGGAAATGGCTTGGCAGACTCGGGGTACAACGCCTGGGTCGCCAGTATGACCAACGCAAATCAAATACTCGGGATTATGCACGGGCTGTATGGATTTGGGGCTGTTCTAAGTCCACTTGCAGCAACGTTACTTGTGACCAAGGCTAACTTGCCATGGTTTTACTTTTACTATCTTATGGTATGTCTTTCGGTCTCGGCGAATAAAAGTTGGTAACTGATCAGCAGACTGCTTGCGCAATAATTGAATTGATCTTCTGCCTGGGAGTATTTCGAGACTCAACCGCAGCTGCTTTCCGGGCTGCCAATCAGACCGAAGAGCACCAAGATGGGAATATGAGTCGAGCCATCGCTCAACCCCCATATGCACGCATAACTTGGATCTGTTCCTTTTTCTTCCTTGGTTACATGGGGGTTGAAGTCGCGCTAGGTGGATGGATTGTTACTTATATGAGGGAAGTAAGAGGTGGGGAGGCATTTGCCAGTGGTATGACTGCCACAGGGTTCTGGCTTGGAATCAGTTGTGGCAGAATGATTCTTGGCTTCGTTACCCCGCTGCTAACGGAGGAGTTTGCCGTCATTGTGAGTTCCCCTGTGTGGTATATTACACTAAATTCATCTTTCCTTCAACCTTTCGGGTTAATTCCTTGACTTGATATCTTTTACGCGTGTCAGGAGGCTTTCATACTTACTAATAATTACGCAGATCTATTCCCTGCTTTCAATTCTCTGCGGTTTCATTCTCTGGCTCGTGCCCGTGTTCTCAGTTTCAGCAGTGGCTGTCACAGTCCTCGGATTTTTCTTAGGTCCATTTTTCCCTGCTGCGATTGTAGTCGCCACCAGGATTCTTCCCCGGGCTTTACATGTGAGCGCTGTCGGCTTCGCTTCAGCCATTGGAGGAGCTGGAGCTGCGATTCTGCCGTTTGCAGTGGGTGCTATTGCCCAAAGGAGTGGTGTTCAGGTTCTGCCGCCAATCATCATTGTTTTGATCATCGGCATTTTGTCATTGTGGCTCTTCCTCCTACAAAGCGCAAAGAATATCGCACATTAGTTACATCTCAATCGGCGAAACAATATCGTCGGCCAAGTGCCACTATCGACGTGATCGCAGGATGAACAAGACATTAGGAGAGTGACACGCGAAACAAGGGTTTTTGGAGCAGCGGGGGATAGCGCATGTTAGGTCCGTCTGCCTCGGTATTAGGGTGGAAAAGAATAATTTGTTTTGTCTAGACATAATAACAAAACAAATTTCAAACCGAGGTCGCTAATTCAACATTCGCTATTACATTAATAAACTAAAGTATGGCTACCGCGGATGGTGCCTGTGCCAGTTCGCCCGGTTGGACGGTGCGAGGCCCGTCAAACGATCCTTCGCCATTTTCTTCCAGCCCACGGGCCACCAAGTCTGTGAAATCGACACCCACTTCCACCAAGAGAGCGGCATGGTCGTGCACAATGTCGAGGCATTTCTGCCAGACCGATGTGCCACGCTGAACGCTGCTAAGCTGTCGGCTGAGCAGAGCATTGAACCCGTCCAGGTGATGTTTAGCCCAACGAATGCAAGAGCTGCTCATTACCACAGGGAAGCATTGTTGGTAGATACCGATCGTGTTCTTGATCAGGGTAAAATAGACATAGGAGATCTGGAAGATGTAAAGAGGTAGATCACCTTCAAAGATACAGGCACTAGGAAAAGAAGTTAGTATGCAAACATAAGCTTGTGTGGTGGAGGACGAAGAACATACCGGATGCGTTGGCCAATCACGTCCGAACGTGCCTTCAGGTAGGTCTCACGTGCCTGGTCTTCAAACCCTAACCGTGTCAACCAGGTAACGTGAGTCTTGGTAGCCACCGGGAATGAGTGTTTGTCGACCAGTGCCCGGGAGAGAATGCCAGCAAGCCGAGTCGCTCGCCCATCGACCTTGAAATTGATGACGTCTTGTGCAATGCTGTTGCCCTTGAGACCCTTGGCCATTTTTCTTAGTCGCTCGATGCTGTACACAGACGCCTCAAATCGCTGGAGCGCAATATCTATATCAAGTTCGTCCACCTGCCCTTCAACCCAGCGGAGATTCTGCTGTTTCCCGTCCACATCAATGCGCAGGTCAGGCTTGTCTCTTGGAGTATCAGAGAGGTCAAAAGACTCGGGCTTTTGCGAATGGGAAAGGTGCCGACCAGCCAGATATCCGTATGCTTCGAAGGGCTTGCTGGCCGCTTCGGTTTCCGAGCGCATGGTTCGACGTAGGTCCTCGACTGTTTTGCGGAATGTTGCCAGTAGTTCCTGTTTCGCTGCAACGTCGTCATGGCGATATGTAAAGGGCTTGTTTCCCACACGGATACTGATCGATCTCCCAATGCCTCGCTCTAAAGCCTCTTCGCGCGCTTGGCCCGTTCCCAAATTGGCTCCAAGATCAATCATATCAACATCATTAAGAAGCCAGCAATCTTCTGCCACTAGCCTCGTCGGAACAGGTCCTCGGTGGTTGGGGTTGCTTTGGTCGACCCGCTTACGCTTCTTCGCAGCCACGAGCAGGTAATCGTTCAATAACACAATGTGAACGGGCCGTTTTGGTTTCCATGTGGCTGAGTCCAGCTCAACCCAATTACCTGTTTCTAGGACAATGTGCCGTCCTGGTGCAGCTGGAAGCCACTTTTGCGACCCTTCCACTGTCTTCCACAACGTTTGCAGCTGCACGCTCCACATGCTCTCAAGGTTGGCGACCGAGCTCCGATTCGCATTTCGTTTGGGGAAAGACTCCTCCATCGGTGACATGGGATTAGGTGAGTTTCCTACGCTTGTTTGTCCGAGCGCCGTTGTTAGTTCCGCCATGAGGGTACGGAGAGTCCGCATTTCATCCTTGAGCTTCTCCGCCTCTTTACTGATTTTGATAAATTGTGTGCGATTCTGATAGACATTTTGTTGTAGATCGGTGGATGTTCGGTTCTTGACTTTGCGTAGGCTTTCTTGGTACTTTTGGATGTCTTCCTCGGACGCGTTGGCGAGAAGACTGGCCACATCTAATATCGGAAACTCCTGGTTAGCTTGAACAAGCACACAGCGGCGGCCAGGGAGCTCTAACATCGATCGACTGGAAGACTGGGATCTCGTAGAGCATGCAGGTCGACTTTCGGTGCTGGTGAATTCGGGTCCGATGGTGATGGTAGTCTCGGAATAGATGCCGGTGCTAATCCGCCATGTCCTCCGGGCATCTGATTTGGAAGCGTCGGAACAGGAGGAACATTGCCATCAGATTCAGGTGCGCCATTGAATCGACTCGAGTATCGCCGTTTCACTAAATCCGAGGTCGCATCGTTCTGAGGTGCCCGCTCACGTGTGGGGATTGCGGATGGGCCTGCATCGGGAGACCTGGTATTGGGAGGTAGAGGACCGGATATGGGCTTAGGAGCACTGATCTGAGGGCGCTGCCGACGAGTCTTGCTCCTCAGAGTCAATCCTCGGCCTTCCATGGTGATTTCACTTAGCAATGCAGCAATAATCAAGGAATGGAGTCGTCTCGGGAGGTCAAGGGGATGACGCTCGGGCTGTGGGTATGATTATATAATCCATGGGCTCCGGACATCTGGACATCCTCGAAACATTTTTATCACCCAACTACTACTCAACCACTATCGCCTCTCAAAGTCCCATACATTGCCAGGCTGAGAAAATCCGATACGTTTAATTAGATATCATCCCACATTTTCGCTATGGCTTTCCGAAACACCGCCATCGTCGCCGGCACACTTCTGACGGGAGTTCTCGGTATGTAGCATTCGTCTCGCCGCGTTTTTCAATTATTAACCCTTTATACCAGCCTACGCCGTTTATTTCGATTACAAGCGTCAAAGCGATCCTAACTTCCGCAAATCGCTGAAGAAGAACAACAAGAAGGTCGCACAAACCGCGAAGCAGGAAGCCGAGGCCGGCGCCGCAGCTAGGGCCGCAGAGCTCAAGAATGCGCTCGAACAAGTGAAGAGGAACGGTGAACTTCCAACGGATCTCGAAGAAAAAGAAAGCTTCTTTATGAGCCAAGTCGCATTGGGCGAATCTCTTTGTGCCTCGGAAGGTAAATTGAATCCATTTACTCATCCTATCTCCATATCGAACGATGGGATGGAGATATCGGTTACACGTCGCAATCGGAATCAACAGGTCGCTAACTACATCTCCAGGCTCCCAAGTCGAAGCAGCCATTGCCTTCTGGAAAGCATTGAAGGTCTACCCCCAGCCTCAGGTAAGTACAAGCCATTGCGGATGTCACATATTGCCTTCATCGTCCTCTTCATCATTCTAACTGCTGTAATTACTCAGGATTTGATCGGAATTTACGACAAGACCGTTCCCAGAGAAACCCTCGAAATTCTCGCCGAGCTTATCGCACTTGATGGTGGTCAATCTGCTGGCCCCAAGACTGGCACCGACGACAACATCGAATAGACAACTGGACCTGACCGCCCCTCAACAACTTGTATTTTAGACAGATGGAATTCTCAAATTTGTATGACATAATTTATATCGCGGAGAACTAGTACGTTCGTTACCCAAGAGCCGTGGGGGAAGCGGATAAAGAGGTGTGGATGAAGGCTACTATGTAAGTTGGACGGATTGATGGCGATCCATTGCCAAACATTCCAATTAGATGGAGCAGAAGAGATACCACCAATCTAAAGCTACCTCTCGATTTTGGCTTCTGTCCTATGAAGTAGTATAGGTATTTTTATTTTCTTTCTATGAGACATCTATAGACTGGTCGATTGTTAGAACTACTCCATAACATCCTCTCTTTCACTACAAAACCTTCCACCATCAATCATAGAAAGTTAATCTTACAGTAATATGGCTGTGAGTACTGCGTACATTGAAAAAAAAATAAGATAATTTATGATTCTTCCATTTTGTGTACGCCACAGCGGCTATGTAAGACGAGGAATTTCCACAGGTAAGTAATGACATCTTATGCAATTTCTAGTCCCCAGTTGATATGTGGATGTGAATTGAAAGCAGGAAGAGGAAGAGGAAGAGGAAGAAGAAGAAGAAGAAGAAGAGGAAGCTAAGCGAATGGAAGAGTACGAGTAGTACGGAGTCGAGGTCAGAGAGACACTGGTTGGATAGGAGGTCCGGAGCCAAGGGGGCTTTCCGTCCGCTATCTATTGCCAAGACATATGTTGATTCCAAGACTTTTTAACTTTGAATTGTTCCAGTTGGAAACGGTCATAGTGGGAGAGGATACATAGAGTGAGAGTAGTATCTAAAGGAAGAGTAAATAAGAGGTTATGTATGAAGTAGATATTCCAATTTAGACAGGTGGCATTGGACACCCGAAAGACAAGGCCACTATTTCCAAGCCCTAACTAACCAACCAACTAACGTAATTCACATACGAGCCGCCACCACATACGACCCGCCACCCCATCCAAAAACGCGTCCATGAATTAGCACCTAGTTAATTCAACCACCCACCATGCCACCAAAACGCTCTCAATCCTCTAAAGATTCAATAGAGAAAGAGGGTAGGATCTTATTAGCTATCCAGGCTTTTAAGAATCAAGAATTTTCCAATATTTCTACTACCGCCCGCACTTTTAACGTACCGCGTTCAACCCTTCGGGACCGCCTCAGTGGTATACAATAACGCGCGACTTCTCACGCCAACTTAACTAAATTGGCCGTAATTGAAGAGGAATCTCTTCGAAAATGGATAATCTCTATGGATTCTCGTGGATCGGCCCCCCGGCCCTCTATAGTATAAGAAATAGCGGATCTTCTTCTTAAATAACGCGGAACCACCCCGGTTATTTTAGTTGGCTAAAATTGGGTTACATATTTTATTAAACGGTACCCTACCCTTATATCCCGATTCTTAAGATATTATAATTACAAGTGCGCGAAATGTGAAGACCTAAGGATTATTAGAAAGTGGTTTAATCTAGTTTAAAAAACCATTCTTTAGTATAGAATCGATCCAGACGATATTTATAACTTTAACGAGACAGGTTTTACTATAGGATTGACTGTAATAGCAAAAGTTATAACTAGAAGTAAATACT